TTTTTTTCAAAAAAAAATTTTTTCTTTTTTATCATTTTTTTTTTTTTTTTTTTTTTTACGATAGACTTTTACACTAATAAAGTTTTCCGATGTGCATCAATTGTTTAAATTTGAGTTATAAGTAATCTTAATAATCTATTTTCGAAATTCCAGAAAAGGACATTCCTTCTAATTTATTTAATGAAGAGAGGTTGAAGGAAGCATCTAGCTCAGTAGCACAAGTAAGGATGTTGCTCATCACGTTTCTTTCCACTGTCCATGCTCTTATGCAATTCATTATTCTGTTGTTTTCATCTTTCAAGTGCCATACAGAATGAGCAGATAATTGTCTAGGGATGTTTGCTTTTATAATTTTTGGCTCGTGTTTTGTTTTAATTTAGTATTGAAACAATGCCCGTTTTAAAAGGGAACGGGCTTGCATAAATATCACACATGTAGAATATTAAGGTGAAGATCTTTGCTAGAGATTACCAAATTGCAAACTTCTTTGCACAAGAGAGCACGATAAACTTGTTTCCGTTGTAGGAGAAAATGAATTATTCAGCTTACCTGTAAACTGTGTCAAGATGGACATAGCCTTGACATCCATACTATCTGGGACTTTTTACTCATCCTCTCTGTTAAACTAACCTAGCAATCCTGAACCATTTATTAAATCCCCACCAATATCCGTTCACCGAACCAGTTTGTTAGTGGTTCACTGGTACTTGAACTTTGAAGGATTAGGAGAACCAGGTCAGGCATACCAGATGATGTCACCTTTACACCATCATTCTGGTCTATTTCAATATAATCTGAAATGGATACATATGAAAAATCCTCAGCATCAATATTCAATATCAACCTAAAAAAACAATATTGTTCAATCGAATCAGATTTTAATTTAAATCAAAGTCAATAATTAATTTTAACCACGTATTTTATGGAACCACCAACTTTTCAACTATACGTTTTATCAACTTCTATCAAAATCTATTTAAAATTTGATTTTAATCCCCACCAAATGGAAGCGATATATCTTCGGAGGAATGATTAACAATAGAAAATTGTTGTTTGCACAAACTATAATCAACATATGATTTTGATTTCTTTTTTTGCCCAATACATGTTTCTGCATTTGTAGAAATGTGTTGAAGAACTAAGTGGTGGGACAGGGTTGTGGGAAAAAATCCCCCGTCACCCTTGTAGGAGCCATTTTCAGTCTTTTCTTCCCTCCATGCCACTACAATAAAAATAAAATGTAAGCTGGAATGTGAAAGAGGGTTGGAGCCAGACCAGTTTCATGGGTCCATGCGCAAGTGGGTTTAAAACAATTAAATTAAATTTAGCTGGTAATGATGCAATAATAAATACTTATCTCAGGTGCCCCCTTACATTATTTTCTCTCCACAGTCCACACAAACTGATGAATAGAGTTTATTCTCCTACGATAATTTGTATTTTTATATCTCGAGATACTTTGTTAAAGGATGTTTGTGATTTTATTTTAGCTATTTTGTTTACCAAGGGAGCACATTTACTCATGCAGATGTAAATTGCCATCAGATAATCTCACTTCTATTTTCTGTTTTTCAGGCAACATCTGTATCTGGAGAGAACATCAATACCCAAACAGGAAGACCTTCTGGTTAGTTTGATATTTAAGAAATTTCCCATTTTATTATATTTATAATTCGTTTGTTTCTACATAATTTTTCAAAGCGTATATTTATGTTTGATTTGACTTGAAATAATGGAGCCAACCCATGGGGTTCCATAAGTATTACTACTGCATTATTGTCATTCTTAGCTGTTGCGTTTAATTACTCTTCATCTCTGATTTTCTTGCTCTGCTATAAATTGAGTCCAACTAATTATTCCTCTTCTAACTTCAGCCACCGGAAGCACTGGCGGGAATGCTGCACAGGTAGATTTTAGTTAGAAATGTTTATGTTAGTTCAACTGTGGCAAATTCGGTATCAATTGCTAGTTTGTTTGACATTTATCCAAGTTCGTCTGTTATTTTGATTAATTTTGCCTCATTTATTCTCACCTTGGACTAGGTGAAATGTTATAGTTTTCTTTAACTGGAATCGAATGATGTACGAATGATAATGGACTAAAGATTTGACGCTAATGACTTGAACTGCATCAAAACATGAGGATACAATGAAAATATTACATCGTAAACGTGTGTTTTGATCCGTCTTACAATGCTCTCGGATTGCATTTTAGTTGGAAATTGTTTCCACTTTATGCTAGTTCTCCTTTGGCAAATTTGGTACTTGCTGCTAGTTTGTTCAATATTTATCAAAATCATCTGTTACTTGATTGATTTTGCCTTGTTTATTCTCATTTTGAACCATATTAAGACTTATAGTTTAGTTATTTGGAATTAGAATTTCGGACTGAACGCCATTTTTTGTTTGTAGGGACGTGATTTTGAAGCAAAAGTTGCAAAGCTTGTTGAGCTAGGATTTGGAAGGGAACAAGTGATTCAAGCTTTGAAGTTTTTTGATGGCAACGAAGAACAAGCTGCTGGATTTCTTTTTGGGGGCTGAAGATGATTCTACACACCGGCATAGGCCATTGTTGATTTTGTAACTTGTGCGCATAAAAAATATTTATTCGTTTGATAACTGCAGAAAAAATTCTTGCAGTTAAACATAAAAGGAATTTGGATTTGACATCGAAGAGTGAAAGAACTGTATCGTTCATTTGAACAAAAAGTGGAATGAATTTTGAAGATTCTGAACTCTTTCGCTTAAGTCCCTTTTTCCCCTCTAATATTCTGATACTGAGTCCCAGGTTCAAAATAAATCTTCGACTTTCATTTTTCTAACTACGTTTGAAGATCAAAATAGGCACCATTAACCTTATTTAAAACCTCAATTGAGCCATCAATAATGTCATTTCCCTTCTCATGACTTCATGCTGAGGATTTTCTTGATAAATTTCACCTTAAAATGCTTCATCTTTTTCCACCACCACCACCACTAAAGCCGTCTCCCCCAAAATAAACCAAGCCATCCGATTGTCATATCAAAGCAAGTCACAACAACCTCGGATTACAAATTAAGTAGTCTGGTGTTTGGTTTTGATAGAATTAGTTTTTTGATAGATTTCGATGAAAGTTAATGAAAAATGGTTGAAAGTTGATAGAAGTTGCAAGTCTTATGTGTAATTTTGGACATGTTTATTTTTAAAATTTTATAGCTAAATCAAACACGAGGCCTGGCCTCTTTTTCATATTCTCAAGAATAATACTTTGATAATCTTCCTTGCCATTAAATCGAGAGATCAACTGCTCAAGTGTTTGACATCCCCATAGCTAGTCTCAGACTTATAAATCAGCTCAAAGTATGTCAGGTTCTTCAATAACAGAACAGAATAATACCATCTTTATAATTAAACTTTTCAAAACATCTTTGCCACCTTCTTTTCCTCGGCCATTATTTTACAACTCTTCTAATTGCTTAATAACGTGATGACAACTCTTAAAGAAAGAGTGATTAAGAATAACCAAGACGGAAGTCAACAAAGATTCAGATATATTCTTTATCAAGTGTCAACCATTTTCCACATTACAAATAATATCCCACAAAACTAAATCGTATTCAAAACTAATTGAGAGATGAAGATCACTTAATGACTGACGATGAACAACTATTCATTCTAGACGTCGATCAAGATGAAACTGTAAATTATTCTTACTTCTAAACTGTATTTTTTTCTGTAATTGTGTTACAGAATGTTTTCTTACTTGTTGATGATAATTTTGGATTTAAATACTCATTACAGGTGGAGAACTTGAAAGCTCTTTCGGAAGAAAAGGTAATATCTTCCGTTTTTTTACTTTGTTATAAATTTGTACATTGACGTTTACTATATATTTTGTGTTTATGATATCGAATAAGCAGACAAGAGTGCCACAGCTTCAGCAGCTGCTGTATAATGGGATTGTAATGAGGAATAATGAGAAACTTGGCGCTCTCGGTGTTGGTGATAGAGATTTGATCGTGATGGTCTTCAATTCTTCGTCTTCCAATGCTAGGTTTGTGTATGTTACTCTCCTTGTAACTCTGAAATCAGACACTTGGAAAGATTCAAGAAGTTTTCAAATGACTCATCTCTCGAGTATGGCATAGTGTACGATCATTTGACACATCAAAATTCAACAGGGAAACTAATATAGTGACCTATGTGAAATAAAACTTCATATAATAATCATTTCAGCAACTTATAAGCAAATCTGAACAAGATTGCTGGAATGTATTGTGATGAAATTTTTAGATTTTCTATCTCTTGTAGAGCATCACCAAATGAGTCAGGGTTCAGTCCAGATGGTTCTGCTGTGAACCCCTTGGCTTTTCAGCAACAGCTTCGAAACTATTCTAATGTGATGACCGAGCTGTTCCAGGTAGAGAGATTGAGTCATTCATCGGTACTTTTCTAGATGTTGGAAGCATTTTTTGGTTTCTTTTTTACTTTTTAAGTAAGAATCCTTGGTGATATAGTTATAGAAAAATATGTTCTTTTTATGAGCTTATTGAAATTCTTTAGTTGCATTCTTATTTCAATTGCTTTTGATCTTCTTTTGATGCACCAGCTATTGTTTGTCCAAACAAATTTCGAATATTAGTCATCGCTCTCATTTCTTAAGTCTTCCAACCGGTTTCCCACTATTCTCTGCTTGAAGAAGTTGATTTCTGTTTATCATCTCTCATATTGCTAAGAGCATTCTCTTGTTTTTAAGCAATCTAGATTTTCTGATATAGACGTATCAGCTCTGTGTAAAGATAAAAGGATCGTTGAAATCGTATTTGCTATTTGAACTTCCAGAGTGATCCCGAGTTGGCACAAGCTATCCTTGGAAATGGTCTCAATATGATCCAAGATATTTCAAGCACGCGTAATCGCCAGAGAGGTGAATTATGGGGTCAACGAGAAGAGGAAATGGTTAGTGTTGTTTACCGGTAATCATTATAGATATCAAGTGGGTTTCGATATGCATTGGTTTGGCTTTCAACTTTTCACTGCACTTTCTATTTTCTTTATACGTTTTACTCTGTGCCTTGTATGGTACTTGATAGGAAGGGATGGTGACTATGAATACTTGTGACGATCTCATTATACTTTATAAGTGCAACCGTAGTATCTTGGTGCATACTATCAATACATGAAAATCTCATTTTCTGGACTCGTGATCTGTTATCAAAGGATGATGCAATCAGCATAGTCCAATAATTTGCTTCTGTTTTTAATTTTTCGGATCAAAACTATGACATTTACCGATTCCATTCACTTGAAATAATTATTGGGGTTTTATGAATTGCGATTTTGTTCTGCAGAAAGCAATAGATGAAATATGGGCTGCTGCCATAGATTACAATCCTGAAGCTTTTGCAAAGGAGGTATGTAATAAATGCCGTCCATCTGTTCGTTGTATATCTTTGTTGTTTGTTAACATAACCATTGAAGTTTTATGCTTTTTTCAGGTAATGGTATATGTTGATATGGAAGTTAATAGCGTTCCATTGAAGGTACTCTTCTTGGTAAAAAATGTGACCTGCACTTCCTTATTCTTGCATCTAGTATCTGCCCTCATGCCACCCCCAAAAAATAAAAGAAGACAGACAAAAAAACCCATAAATAGAAAACCAAGAAGCAAAAATCCGTACAATTGGAGGAAGAACGATCTGGCATATAGGCATATGATAGATGCCTCTTTGGTGTGGATTAAGATTGTTCTCATCTGCAAAGCTTCACGAAGTTCTTGAATTCATGTGGGGGATTGTTGGATATTGGTTAAATAAATTGAGAATTGAAAATCGATTAAAGTTCGTATCGAATTCGGCCAAATACTCAAAAGCTCGACTCAATCCGTTTAGGCAAAATTGTTTGCCACTTCGCCGCTTCGGGGCGCACAAACGGGGATCGACCTGCCCGGTCAGGTAGCGAGGGTCGAGGGGGCAGCACCCCTCGTGGGGGGTCGGGGGCAACGCCCCCGAAAGAGAATTTTGATTTCTCTGCATGTATTGAAGGGTATATTTGGCATTTCGAAAACCAATATCGGATGAATGAGAAATTACGAAAAAGACCTCAACCATTAGTGAATAGACACCTTTTCATAAATATGCATTGTTTGGAAATGGTGCATGGTTTGGTCTCAACCATTTCGTCCACACCCCTTCATGGTCTATAAATAGGACCCTTTGGGTGTCCTATTCCTCACAGTTTGATATGCAAAACGTTTCTCATCCTCTCTTCTATCCAAAATCAAAATCATTTCGTTTATTTTGATTTTCTTTCATTTCATCCTTGGAGTACATAAGCCTAAATTGGTTCGTTGTACTTGTGTTTTGGAGTGCTACAAACACAAGTGTAGCCGTTGTATCTTGGGAGTCGATTGCCGAAATCCGTAGGCACCGTTGCGGGGCAAATTCGACTTAAGGACAAAGAGTCCAACTCTTGCCTCGGCTTTGTCACCATCGTTATACTTATTTCAGCGTCACTATTCACAAAATTCATCCAACAGATTTCAGAGGAGATTTGAACTAAGAAGAATTACACATTTTTTATTATATAATCCCTCGTGTTGTGTGTGCCTATTGCAATCCTTATTGTCCTATATTTTCTTGCTTTGAGTGAGCTATGTATCTCACTCGTCTATGTTCAGGCCATTGTTAGCAGTGCAGCTCAGTCAACAATTATATCTAAAAGCTGTGCCGAGCGTTGTGGGTATGATATCCTTCTTTTTAGTTTTTCTGATCCCTATTTTGGTATTAATCAGTACTTCAGTAAACCATTATATTGGTAATTATGAACAGATATTTATTGTTAATCGTTCAGTAATTTTCTTCCTTCAGACTGTCGAAGCTTATAGATACACGGTATAGGGGAATTGCTCGAGGAGTCGGTCAGTCTGAGATAATTGGCCGGATACATGTTGCTCCCATCAAGGTACCCATGTACTATGGCTATCCTCATTTAAAACCATTTTTGTTCTCTTGCCTTCAACCATGCTTGTGAGTTGTTATGAAATGGCATTCCGGTTAACTTGGACGTGTTTGTTTACATAATATGGTAGATTGGGAAAATATTTTACCCGTGTTCCTTCACAGTCCTGGATTCTCCCAACATGGAGTTCCTTTTTGGGTTTGATATGCTGTACAAGTTTCAGGTAGTTTTTTGTAATTAAATTTGATCTATTAATTGGTTTCAGGACAAATTTTGTTTTGATTTGCTTACAGTAATGCCATTTACAGTGTACAATTGATCTGAAGGAAAATGTCTTGAGAGTTGGCCTTGGAGAGGTTTCTGTGCCTTTTCTGACAGGTTGATCTTATTATTTCTTTTTTATCTTTACTATATGAGACAGATTTTAAATGGTAGTAATATTTCCAAACGTTGCATCAATTGTTATGTAAATTAAATTTGCATTTAAGTATTCTTACTTCAATCTTCTATGAAATTCCAGAGGACATTCTATCTAGTTTATTTGATGAAAAGAGGTACACCAAGGAAGTGTCTAGCTCAGGAGTACAAGTATGGATTTTGCTCTTTCCACTGTCCACGCCACCATGCTTCCTTATAAAGGCATAGAGAATGCCCGTATAATTGTTTAGAGAAGTTTGCTTGTATAATTTGTTGCCTGTGGTGGTTTCTGCTTTACTTAGAATTGTGACAATGCCCAAGATGTTGAATGGAAACTAGGTTGCTTGTGTATGAAAAACACTGCATCCCATCTAATTCAACAAAAGAATTGTAGTAGATCTTCAGGGAGAATGAAGAACACTAGAAAATCGATCGCTCGATGGTTGAAATCTATTATTTGCATATAAAAGGTTCTTGATTTCTGATATATACACAATACACGTTTTTTGCCTCGCTCTCATCTAGAACTACTTTGCCAGATGCACTACTTTTGTTTAACTTGACTCGCTTTTTCGGCTAACTAAGAATGATTTGATGCTAATTGGCAGGGACCTGATTTTGAAGCAAAAGTTGCAAAGTTTGTTGAGCTAGGAATTGAAAGAGAACAAGTGATTAAGGCTTTAAAGGCTAGCGGAGGTAATGAAGATCTAACTGCTATATTCCTCTTATTGGGTGGATATTAACTTAGTTAAACGTTGTCAATCATGATTTGTGACTGCAAAAGAAAATCTTGAGCACATTGAAGATTACAGAGTTTACTACTGTTAAGTTCACAAACAATGGCATTAGAAGGTAGGTCCCTGTCTTAATCCCCATTGTATCAGAGATTATAAAAAAATTCGAGTAATAAGGGAATCAAATAAAGTAAGTTATCTTAATCAGGATTTCTCCTTTTGTACCACTTTCTTAGTGCGGAGGCATCAACTTCAAATCTTCAATTACAAAAAAGTAGCAATAAGGCTGCAATACTATGATAAATGAGTTGATAAAAGTGGTCCTTCCATTGATTTGATTGACCATTATGTGAAATGTCAACATGTTATGGGTCAGATCTTCACCGATTAGAAGTTCAAGCAAGTCGAAATAGTTCGAACCCATTGTTGCCGATCCTCAAGTTGGATTAAAAGGAACTACACGTAACATTATACAAACATTTCACTAAGTCTTTCTTCTTTAATCTTGTAAGGTTTGATTCAATAGCAAAAGCAGAATATTTTTCAAATTTAAAAATCTATGTTCAACTTTAAGCCATGTCTGGCCCCATTTTTATAAAAACTCATTTTAAACCACACATTTTTTCATAAAATAATTTTACGCGTAACTTAAAAACTTTTTTTTCTTTTTTAACAACACATTTGCTAAAAAAATCACTATTTCAAAATACATTTTCTTGTCAAAATGAGGCTCAAACTGCGGCTAAATCTTTACTAGCTACTTCTAAATATTCAAATAGGCCCCATTGGCCTTAATCAAAATCTTCCTTGAGCCATCAATAACGTTAATTTCCCTTCTCTCTTTCACCACCACCACGTTTAACGCTGCCTCCCCCAAAAACAAAACAAGCCATCTACTTCCCATCAGATTATCATATCAAAGCAATCCTGGAGCAAACAAAAACTGCCACCAGAAGTGCCATATAGCACCAAGCAAAAACCAGGACAGCAACATGTACTCCTACAACCTCAAAAAACAAATTTAGTTCTCTGGTTTGGTGCAATCCTATGTTTAGTATTTAACCTTTTCTGATCCTTTGGAATAGCTACTTTGATAATCTTCCTTGGTATTAAACCAAGAAATCCAATGTTCAACATCCCCACAACCGGTCCGATGCTACCAAAAATCTGCACCTTCTGACTTCCCGAGCTTGAGGACTATGAATGAGCATGATAGTACTTTTCGGTACTTGAATCAAAGGTAACGAGGTGTGTTCTCGTCGCCTCTCCGATGTGTAAGTCAGAAAGAGAATTTGTGCGTAAGGTTATAAATTAGAAATAATGAAAAATGTACCTGAATGACAGAATGGAGCCTTATATTTATAGGGATAGGTAGTGCATTCCTAGTAGGATTAAGTTAGTTGATTATTCTTATCCAAAAGAGTCTTACTTGAAGTAGGTGTTGGACTTGTGTTATGACTAGTCCCAATTATAGTAAATACTGCTACGGTAGAGTTCTTTTGGGCATGGGAATAAGGTGTGAGATATTTAGATCAGATTAGAGTCCTATACGAGTTGGGCTCCTCCATCGTTAGAGCACGAAGGCATATGAGACACAGCGAATTGCTCGAGGGCGTCAGTGCCATGGTGCAGTTCACGTACCCGAGGATATAACCCGAGGACAATGTCGTCGAATGTTGTCAACACGTAATACAAGAGCTTGGGCATAAACATATCCCGAGGACTCCTAGATGCTCGAGCACGATGGTAGCAGAATTGTTGGAGAGGTCCAATCCCAATCCTCGGGTGTGCACATGGCCGGGAGTGAATTTTAGCAATATTACAGTCTAACCGTCATCTACTTTGACACTTCCAAGTTTCTAAATTCCGATATAGCATTTCTTGCAAACTTTTTCAACTCAAACAGGAAACTTAATGTTAGATTTGAGTACCTGAATCTGGATCTCTACTTTCTAGATAATCTAATAGCAACACAAGCTGTTCAACCCCACGCTCAAAGAAGCAGAGACACAGTTATTATCGGTTCACATGATATCAAGTATGGTTTATATGCCACCAACTCTTGCTCTGGAGCTTCAGAAACAGGTGCAGAGAAACCGCATCGTATACAATAGTAGAGGAACTTTTAGAGTAAAAATTGTAAAAATTAAGCTTGGTCTAATCCATTATTTTTAATGTTGCACGGGCGATCCCAATTAGAGATGACAAGCCCACCAACACGTATTCTAGTGTCCCACAGTGGCAGAACCAAGAAATGAATAGCAAGAGATATGCACATTCGGTTTTACTTTATTTGCATTTGTTCTTGAATTTGATCTATATGAAGTATTCTTTTCTGTTACAATTTGTAAATAGCTCGAAGTATTATGTCAGGTTCTCTAAGAATAGCTATCAGTAATTTCAATTAATCACGATAACAAGTAAAATTCTCCAAAACTCATTTGATTCTGATATAAATACAACAAGGTAGTGTCTAGAATGCTAACAAAGAACAGACTCAATAAAATTCTTGATGAGCACAGTCCTGTCTCACTCAAAATTCTAAACAAGTCTATGTAAGAAACACTCACCCAGCTCTTTGAGATAGATTTGGAGTCTACTTTGGAACAGGGTATTAGAAATATTACTTTCATAGACTTTTAAGGAAGTTAAAAATTAGCATCCACAAGTAGGTAGATAAGAAAATCTTTGAAGTGACCTTATGAATTTTGAAAGGCAAAAAACAGAGATAGAAGTCACAATGTTGAGACTTCCATTATAGTTATAAGCACAGTGGTATCACTAAAATTGCAAAAGCTTTCTTCCGCATAAACTAGCAAAAGCCATTGTTCAGTATTGAGTCAGAATTGTGAAACACACCACTGCACCTTGTTTTAAACTGGGATTCAAAGGCTTTAAATTTTTACCATAGAACAAAAACTGTTCATATTTGGCCTATGGTTGTTGAAACACTAGGAAGATTCTTATGATTTCTTGGAGATTGAGAGGCATTTCTTCTGTAGGTTGGAGTCAGAAGTTGCTTGAAATTTGATGAATTGCATTATATCAAAACAGACAACCATAATATGTAATGTACTGAAGATAAACGTGTTAAGTATGCAAAATACAAGAAATTTAGTTACATTCAGAAGCCTTTTCCCCTTGCACTCATAGAAACTTTAAATTAATACTTATAGCCCTTGATATGCAAACTCTCAGAAGCCAATTCTCCAGCACTTCCTCCAGTGTACTTACCAAGTGTGGCTTCAGAATTAGCCTTGCACCTTCCCAAGAACACCTCTTGAGCTTTGCCAACATTTTCCTTCTTTCCAGTCCATGTTTTGAGTGTGCTTTGCTGCAAAGCTCGACCGAATGAGAATGACAGCGTCCATGGCTTCAGAACTTCCAGTTTGTTCATCGCATTCAAGTTCAAGGTTGCCTCTTCCTCACTTTGTCCACCGGAGAGGAACACAATCCCCGGCACGGCCGGTGGTACTGTCCGGCGTACGGCTGCAACTGTGTATTCAGCAATCACTTCTGGTGTCACCTGTAGAGATATATGGATGAGACAAGGCATTAATTTGCATGGATACTAAAGACTCTTGACTAGTTAATTAATCAACTAGAATGTTGAGGATTTGATAGCCCTTATACCTTAGGGCTATCAGAGCCAGGAGTGACCATGTTAGGCTTCAAAAGAGTTCCTTCCAAAAGAACATGTTGATCGTTCAGTGCCTTGTAAACTGCTGCAAGAACAGTTTCAGTAACCGCAGCACATTTCTTGATATCATGGTTTCCATCAGTTAGAATCTCGGGCTCAACAATCGGTACAAGTCCATTCTCTTGACAGATGATTGCATACCGAGCCAACCCCTGTGCATTCTGCTGGATGGACAGCTCTGATGGTTCAGTAGGGCCAATTTTGAGAACAGCACGCCACTTGGCAAAACGCGCACCAGCCTTGTAATACTGCTGGCAACGGGCTCCTAGCGAGTCGAGCCCCTGAGTGGTGGTTTCGCCATTAGTCCCAGCTAACTCCACGGTGCCCTTGTCGACTTTGATTCCGGGAATAACGTTGTTTTTTTGAAGAACTTCGACGAATGGCTTGCCATCCGAGGTTTTTTGGTAAAGGGTTTCCTCGAAGAGGATAACCCCTGAGAGGTAAGGGAGGGCATTGGGAGAGGTGAAGAGTAGTTCGCGAAGAGCTTGGCGGTTGGACTCGATGTTCTCCACACTGATGCTGGCTAGGCGTTTGCCGATTGTGCCGGTACTCTCGTCGGCAGCCAGAATACCCTTGCCGGGGGTGGCAATGTACTTGGCATTCTTAATTAGTTCATCTGGATATTTACATGAATTTCAGTTAAAAATAAGAAATTGAAGTAATTACTTCAACGTTATTATTATTTTTTTTTTCCCTTCCTAACCCATTATTGGTGACACATTTTATTAATAACGAAATAATACTAAATCGAAACGGGACTCACCAGGACTTCCAAATAAATAAGCAATAAAAATAGGATTTTCAAATTAATATTTTGTACTAACAAAACTATTTCTTTTGAAAAAATAAATAAAATTATAACCTACTAAAAAAGTAACTTTTAAGTACAATCACACGTAAACACGAGTATAGAATCATATATAAGAAGAGAAGTATCTAGGTAGTTTACAAGTACAATTAATTATCTATAAAAACCTTACCTGCTTCATATAGAACTTTGCCGTGTGTGTATAGTATCAATTTAATTATACTTTTAGACGAAGTGCTTTGACCAACTGAATAACAGGTTTATATTTACTTGTTTGCATGGTGCATGCATACGTTCACACCAAGATGATATTTGCATGGAGAGACGTACCAGCATACTTTCCTACGAAGGCGGACATGCTTTAGTTCTGACGATTGTATTATGCAAAGATATGGAGAAGAATAGGCAAAATTAAAAACAAGAAACAATTATCTATATAGAGATTAATGGGATATTCCTATATTCTTCATGTGACACGTGTCAGAAGATTAGCCTCTGAAAACTTATCTTCCTTGGATAGTCATAAAGGAATGTGTGAGAATGATCCATTACACAGCCATTATCCTCCAGATTCTAATCGCAACTAATTGGTTCACGAAATATTGCTCATGTTCGATTTAGCTAAAAATCAAGTTTTGAGTAGATTTCAATCAAAGTCAAGTAAATAAAAATCTTGAGACCCATGATATTTGTGATTAAAAATAAAATTGAGGAAAAATGAAGCCCATAGAGGAATGTCCTTATAGCAAAATGTTCAAAGCCTTTACTAGGCGGGGTGGGTTTTATACTTTTAGTTAATAAATTAATGAGTTGGTTAATATTTATGATATAAGGTAATTAATGTACAAAAATAATTTAATGAGCATAAATTTATTGGTGAATTTTAAATTTAATTCAAATGTTGACATCCGCTCTAAGTTCCTCCACCAATATATTTATATGACACGTCATTAGTGCTTAACATAAAATGAACACCGATGCTCAATAGATCATTCCTGAATTAGTGTTTGTGATAACAATAATACTTACCTAAGTCCTTGCAAACCACGTTCTAATGGACCCATAAATTCTTCTAAGACGGAGGCTAAAACAATTAAAAATTGGGTCGATTTCGCTGCAAGTTCTCCTCAATTTTTTGCTAGTGTGACATCCAATTCCCAATTTACCATTTGTTCCACTCACATCCTCGGTTTCCCTTAACAACATTACAATGTTCTTTTGAATGCTATAGATCCTATTTGGTTCAATTAAAAATAAATTAAAATTCAAGTCAAAATCGACAATGGATTTTAACTACACATTTCATGAGATCCACAACTTTTAAACCATATATTCCATAAAATTTTATCAAAATTTTAGTAAATTTTGATTTTTATCTAAATCGAAAAGGTATCACAAGAAAATTGAATAGTTTAGTGAAGAAATCACAATAATGAGAAACAATCAGCTGGAATATGAAAACAAAGTATACCTTATTTATCATATGCATAGTTCTTAAGTCTCAAACAAACAAGAATGATATTCCCTGCATGCTTAAATGGGTAAAGCAAGCACTAGCACAGTAAAAATTGTACCAAAACCGAGTACGTTCAGTTCTTTTCTGTAAGTAATTATTGGGAAGGGAAATTCATCTCTAGTATAACTGCCGGTGGGGGCCGGTTTAGGTGGTTCATTCATCGTCTGTGCCAAAGTATCGGTCACCAAACTCACCCATGCCAGGGATAACGCGGTATTCTTCATTCAAACCGATTTCAATCTCAGATGTCACTATCTTTATTCTAGGAAAACGTTTGCAGACGACATGTACTCCTTGAGGTGCCTGAAATAATAAAAATGGACGACAAAAATTTGATTATTTATACAAAATCTATACAGAGAAAAGACTGCATAAAGCTATTAAGCTTACAGAGATGAGATTGAGGAATATGATGTTGGCCTCGGGTACGCCCTTCTTTATAAGTAAAGAAATAGCTTGAACAGCTGAATTTCCTGAGATTGATTACAATGAGGGCATGAGTGCCCAAAAAATTCTACGATAAATATACTTGCACATAATTTTATGTACATAAAGATGTTTATGTACATAAAATTATGTACACCAAGCACAACCCGAAATTGTATATCTAAATGGATCTCATTACAGGAGGTAGTAGTAACTCACAATAATTGAAGAACACGAATAATACATCACAAACCTGATAAATAGACTTGTTTGATTATCAATGAATATATAATACACTAACCTGTGCCCAGTATTGGATCCAATAGCAAGACATGTCTATCTGAGATGTCGTTTGGCAGCTTTTCGTAAATCAGCTGCAAGAAATTAGAAGCAGTAGAGAAGAATGGAAATAAATGAGAGGTATGAAAACCAACACATGATACACTAAAGAGGACATGAAGTGCTTGCTAACCTGGGGAGGTGGGTGTTAAAATTGAGATCCATCATTTGTACCTTCTAATTACAGAGACACCACATAACCTCTTACAAAAATCCACACCAGTGTACACTGATCCTGCATTCGAACAGAGAAATTCTGGATGAAATGTGATTTTTGAAAGAGTGCTAAAATAACTGAAAACTTGAATAAGAAACTGTAATTTCAAGCCAAACAACTAATGGAGTAAAAATATCTTAAAATTGACATTTCAAGAAAGAGATGCATTTCTTCAAAAAAATTCTGGAATTAAAACTGGTACAATCTGAAATAAGATTTTTACTTTTTAGACGCTATTCATGTATTTGGTAAGAGACAAATGATGGTTCTTGTAATGGACTTCAATGACTTGTAAGAAACTTTTGAATTGAGTAACACCACCATCCAGTTTTAATTCCAGATTTTTTTGAAGAAATGCATCTCTTTCTTGAAATTTCAATGTTAAAGTCCATTTCAAGAACCATCATTTGTCTCTGACCAAATACATGAATAGCGTCTAAAAAGTAAAAATCTTATTTCAGATTGTCCAATGCTGATAATGAGAGAAGTTGACCAATATAAGCATGCTTTTTGTAAGATATAATTTTAAACAACATGAAAAATAAATATAAATTGCTTTTTTTTGTATGTGAACCAGACGATATTTGTAAGCACAATTTGAACAGATGTTACATAGGCATTTATCAGTATGACTATTGGTAAGAACTGTGAAGTTAGCAAAGCATGTAAAATTTGAAAATCAAAAAATAAAATCAAAACAAATCAGGAGGACAAATCCCAGATGAGAAGGACAAAGTTCAAGTGAACTACAGGTGAAAAAGATGAGAGTAAGAGGAAAAGAAAACCTGGACTTGAATTAGAATTTAAAGTAAAAGCAGGATGGCATAATCTTCTAGATGAAAGAATTTATGAGAGAGAGAATCATATTGCTGGAGTTGCAAACTAGAGAAACTAAGGTTAATCTAATTGAGTTCTACTGAGGTATTTCAGATGAGTTGCCCTTAAAAGTCATTTTTTACTGCTTCATTGACAATTATCTATGTTTCCTTTTCTGTTTGGGCCAAATTTTACTAGTGCCTCCCATTAAGAAGAATCTGCCCTACAGATGGGAATAATGACTTAAATTTTTCCTTTTTGTCCAAAATTTGTATTTTCACATCACAGTCACCTTTGAGTCAAGAAGCAGCAAGCCAAACTAACTGCAAATTCCACAACCTCTGAACAGCACAGGAATTAATGAAACACGTTAATGCAAGCAACAGGAGAAACTTGAGGAAACACCACAGAATACATGATGAAAGTGGATTACCTGTTGGAGTGATCACCTGCTTTTCAGTAAATGGCAAATGTCCAAGACCATGTTCCACAACCTAAGTACAGGGTTTTATTCAATTCAAATAGAGATGGTGATTGCTATGCTAAATTAATTGGTATGATTGTCAAACAAACACATCTCACAGCCACAAAACCTACCAAGCGGATCAGCCGATCAGAGTAAAAGACAAAGTCATGTGTTGTTGTTTGAGCGTCACGTATAAGTGTATGCATACCACGTATCTGGTAATACAAACAACAATAACTGGGATCAATATAAAAGGGAAACTTAACACGAAGCACAAAGAGATGATCTTATGACATACCAATTGTAAAACATGGGATAAATGCAGACAGTTTACATATAAAGGTAGCAGGACAAGAACAGTACCTGAAAAGTTGATTGAATGACATATAGATTAGGATATACTTTACAAAGATCATGTTGACCAAGTTTAGTCCGAATATGTTGAACGATCAAATCTATAGCCACATGATTGTCTCCTCCCCGAGGAATGATAATATCAGCATACTTTTTTGTTGGAAGTATGAAATCATCAAAAGCAGGCTTCACAAACTTTGAGTACTGCATACAGATGAAGCCCAATGGTACCCAACATTATGCTACAGAAGCAAAAGGAACCACTTTGCAGAATCTTAACATATTTACGAGTAATACGGATGAAGGATGCAGGTAATATGGAAGCAGTGATTTCCAAGTTCAACAAGTTACAGGCACTTATATGTTGCATCTTCCAACTAGTAAATATATTGTTTCCCTATATCTTGCTAACCTGATCGAGTACCATGCCAATGTCTCTACCCTTTTCAACTGTGTCACGTCTTATTCTCCTCGCCAGACGTACATCAGCATCTGCACTGAAAATTTTATATCATGAAGACTTAATGAAGAGAAGACTAAGTTTAGTAAGTTCATGAAACCAATTACTGATTTCTGTACAAAAACCAACAAGAAATAAATAAAATAAAGAGAGAAGAAAAAATCAAATCATTTTGAAGGATTTCATGGTTGTCGAGTGAGATATTATTCCAAATTCTACCATTCCTCCCTTGACGACTTATTTAGTGCTTGTTTGATAAAAAGTTGCTAAAATTTTATCAACTTATCAATTAGTCAAACTTTATTGTTAACTACACATTTCATGGAATCCATAACTTTTATCAACTTTTCGACTATCTCACTAGCTTGATCAAAATTTGCTAAAACCTTCAAAAACTTTGTCAATCAACCCCTTCATAATTCCACTATATACTTAGTCCAAGTTGAAATTTTTGCAAGTTTCATAGACAATCTCAAAATGAATTTTTGTTTTTACAGACAGAAATAATAAACGAGATCATCCACAAAGGCAAGGTTAAATCTAAATTGAATTCACAAACGAAAAGATTGCCTCACTCTCATCATCATTATGGTTAAATATTAGCAATTAGCAAATACAGGAGAAAAAACATCTTGAATACAAAAAACAAAAAACAAAATCATGGAAAGGGAAGGGAAGGAAAAGAAGAACCTGTATCTACAAATATCTTCATATTCATCAAATCTCGTACACGCGGATCATGAAAAATGAGTATACCTTCCAAAATTATAACATCTGAGGGATTTACCTGCCAGATGTACAAGATAAATTATGATCTGTAACGAATATATACCTGTCAATTTGAACATTATACTTGACTATGACTCTAGAACATTGAAAAAAATGGATGCAAGTGAGAAAGAAATTTAAGAAAAAACCCACCAGGATGGTCAAAGTTGTATTCATGAACTCTTTTAAGTTCCTCTGGTGTAGGAGCATTAGTTGCCTATAGATGCATCTATTAGCCATTGGCATGCTATTTTCATTAAGAAAAGGAAAGAAGATCCGAGCTTACAAAATACATGTCTAAATTGTATTGGTACTTAGCTTATCTAATATTTTCCTCGTTTCTCTAATCTAATGAGCTTTTCTCTTTTTATCAAAATTGATAGCATATTAATTTATAAATAACTTTTGGAAATGAAATTAGCATAGCAGAAACATGGCTATAAGAAATGTGAATTCTTTGGGGAGAAAAGAAAGAAAGGGTGAAAAAGAAGCTTCAACTCCACAGTTTCAATCTTTAAATCCTGACATGTCAAGACTACCAACACCAGTAACTTACTTTTTCATAACCACGGGTCTTGCTACACAGTGTACAATTTAAACACAAAGGGGCACCATCTAAAAAAATAGAAATAAAACTAAAAAATGGACAAAGAAAGAAAAGAAGTTACTCTTCGAGCAGGGAAGACATCGTTTTTATAGCTCTTGGAATCATATTTTGGAATATCTACAGCTTGACCACACTTCAGTTTATCCATAATGCACAGTAATTGATCGGTGTCAAATGCATCTGAATGAAAATAAAATATTAAAAGAAACATAAAAATTCTGTACAGATGCAAGTCCAAAACATGAAACTGATCGATCTGATATTGACCACGTTGCCCAGTAGTGGAAAGTAACTAACTATTACTATCGTAATTTTTTTCCGACATTCAAAGAAAATCAATTGTCTTAAGGGCCAGAAAACTAATTAACAATGAAGTAGAAAGTACAAGCTGCAGCATAAAAGCTCTAATTATTTCATTATCTTGGCTATAGATAGATGTCTGATGTAAGAATATGTTTGAGTAATTCACAGTTATAACCACCTCAACGCTAAAATATCAAAAAGAATAGCGCATAATTTCATAATTTCTATAATGGCATACGAGTATGAAATTGCAAAATCAAGGTGAAAAAAGTCATGGAAAAATAGAAATGTTGCAGCATCAACTGCCTTTATTATAGAGGATAATCAGGACAATTAACCACCAAAGAGATCGTATGTCAAAATTCTCAACAGAAAATGGTTTCCATATTACTAATAAATGCTTAATAACAATATATCAGAACTCTAAATGCATATTTACAAGATAAATTATGATCTGTAACGAATATATACCTGTCAATTTGAACATTATACTTGACTATGACTCTAGAACATTGAAAAAAATGGATGCAAGTGAGAAAGAAATTTAAGAAAAAACCCACCAGGATGGTCAAAGTTGTATTCATGAACTCTTTTAAGTTCCTCTGGTGTCAAATTCTGATAAAATGAATCCTGACAAAACATCCATTTTGAAAAGTGAATTAGCAAAACAAGATTTTAACTGCATATATAGCATCACATAGCACAAATGTGTATGTCCGTGTAGATTTGTTCTATGAACATAAAAATAGCAGGCACGTGAAATGAAAATATTGATGCCACACGACACACCCAATAATGTGGACCATTCAAGTTGTGCTACTGTCATATGTAGATTATCCAATTACCTAAGAGAATTAAGATAGCTGTCGACAGAATACTTACCTTGTAAAATTATTTCCTTGTGCAGTCATAACATAGTTGCTTATATTGTAGTCGATTATTGTTCAATAAAGAATAAGAACACATAGAATTTCTTCTCCAAAAAGCTGTGTTCTTCCCACATAAAATTACTACAGGGTTCCCACAAAATGATTAAAAGAAAGGTCATAAAATTGTGAAAAAGTGTATTCCTTGCCCTATACACTTGCAGTCTTTCATTCATTGATGAGCTTCTTTATCAGGAAAAAAATAACTACTAAATTATGTTAAAGACTTTCAAGCATGCCAAATTGGAGGCAGATAGTGCATGAGGCATAAAACTTCAGCATGAAATCGGAAGGTGACATCAGTTGAAACTCTCCTTGAATGCTCAACAGGGCCAAACATCAGAGCCCATGTACATAAATAAATTGTAGAATGGAGGAAGAACAAAATAAATTAAAAATGGTTTTCAAATTTATTAAAAAAATAAAAAAAAATTCTGAGGTGACATTATTTTCTACATTAAACAGAAAAACAGGAAGAGAAAACAACAGATGCAGGAAGTAAGGTTTCTGGCGTAGCCTCCATCCCTTCAATTTCTACATACTATAGTACTAACTAATGCAAGTTTCAAAATAATAATATAATACATTTTAAAATAGTCAAATTGTACAAGCAGAAGATGACAATAATAGCAATAGCAACAGCGATAAAAGATATATGACCATATTTGACTACAAGAAATTCAAATTAGAATAATAATTAAAAAAAAATTTGAAGAAAGAGCAAAGATAAAATCTTTAGTTTCAAACTTGAAGGACCAACATGCTGATACCTGGTTAACAAGTACAACACGCTGATCACGAAGCTGCTCAATAATCAAATCACAAACTGTAGTTTTCCCCGATGCTGCACCTCCAGCAACTCCTGCAATGCAGAACGTTTGAGGCGATCCAAGAAGCTCATATCAATGGAGATAAATACAGTACCAGAAACAAGTTTCCAGAAATAATGTAAAAGATTAATGCAATGGCAAACCATACTTGGTTATGCCATGATATAAAAATTATATATCTGAAGTTCAAAACAAATAATAAAGTTTTCCAACTTGATGAATTTCAAGTTTCACTACAAAGTCAAAGTTCAGCGTACTATGTACAGATCAAATAGGGAGTAAGATAACCAAATAAATAAATAAGACTACATTATTATTGATTTCTACAGTCAGATTCAGAGACATCACACTGACTTTGAAATGAAGATTGAAGCAAACTTATTCTTCAATGATATCCGTGGAAACTCAAGTAATTCAAATATTCAAAAAAGTTGTTGCAAAATATGCTATTGGGTGTCCACGTTATCTCATGCGCCCCTCGGCTTCAATTCTTGGTGAAACCCTAGTTTCTCTTTATAGAAGATCACCATAAACCGGATTTTATCAAAGAAAGTGCAGTACATGCAGGGTGGTATTCCTTAGCTTTACTGCTTACCAAACTATGGTTCATCTGGCACTGCCATGTTTGATAACATGTAAGTTGCAGAATGTCAAATAAATTATCAGTGAACATAACTCTGAATGATATGATCCTAACAAAACTAAATTCACACTTAGCAAGCAGGCAGAAAATTGCTCACGCTCACACGTTTAAGGCACCTGTTTGCAAAATTCATGGTTAACAAACATATCAATTAGGAAACAATAGTTGCTTTGATGTTTTAGAGTTATGGATCAGCCTTTCATATTACACCATATGTCATGAATCACTAAGGTCCCTATCCATCTAAACTGATGTGCACTGGAGTCAGATGAAGATAATATAGCATTCCTCTATTCATAATACATCTTAAATGATTTTCTGTAAAGCACATATACTCAGTACCGCCTAGCAAGTCTTGCTGCTTTTTTTCCCACTCTTATGCTTACGTTATTGATGTGAAGTTCAGCTGCTCAAAATGAATTGTGCATGGGATTTTTAGAGATCAAAAAGTTTGAATAACTGGCCCTAATATCAGGTGTTAGTATAATCCTTGTGATTTATTGCACTAAAAATCATAAAAATTGATTTTGATTGAGGTGGGCAGAATTACTAATATGCAGCAGCATGAAAAAATAATTCTAGAATTCATTTCCCTTTTGCATAAGATCAGATCAGCTTGATAGACTATTGTTAGTCTGCACTTACCAATGACAAAGGGTTGCTTGATAGTATCAGTTGTCGAGGTACTTGACTCTATATTATCCAAATGAAATCCAGAATAATGAACCCCTGATGAAGCCTCGATTAAATCTTCAACAGCTTGTGAACCCATTTTGTAGAGCTTTACTACACAATCAAATAATAAGAAAGAAAGAGATGTGATCCGACAAATAAACTCAAGAGCTATTCTTACTTTCCATCTGATTAAAATAAAGAATTTTGTTATTTTTCTTTTATATTGGTCAAGACATTATAAATTTCGAGATCCTGAAATTGAATGTCTGTTTCCCATGATCATGAAAAACAAAACTTCTTCACTCATAATTCTAGAAGATATTAAGTTATCCCACGTTGTAAAAAATAACGCAGAGCAATTTATACATTTAATATTTCATGGAAAAGGGGGCATTATTCACAAGAATAAAATCTACATGTCAAGATGATTTTTTCCTACCATTTGCCTCTCATCAACATTTCTCACAGGCCACTTCTTCTCAACAGTCTCTCGTTTTTTAAACTTTTAACAAGATCCCTCAACAGTGATCAATAATAGGTAATTCACTGTACTGAAATCAATCTGAACAAGAATTCCAAGTTCTAAACAATATCCATATAACTCTAAATCCAGCAGCTCAGCAGCTATTTTTCTTCTTCTTACAATTACTATCCTCCCATCTGAACCCGAAATTAAAACAAAATTTGGAAAATCTCAAAAATTGCCTAATCTCAGCGCACAGTTGCCACGTTTATACAGAAAACGATTACGATGTGGAGGTTTTAGATTTTATCTACAGGCATATTCAAGAGAGAACAATGAAAAACGCAAACATGGATTGATAAGATATAGCTATTTACAGGTATAAAAAGTCATCAATGTGCATTCCAATATACCTTGTGACTCGATTTTAACAATCTAAAACGCCACAAAAAATAGATTTCCAGCTAAGGCTATACGCTATTTTGGTAATTTTTGGAATTCAAGCTGGTTAAGAGTCAAGTTCAGAGGGGCAACAGTGACACGGAGTGGATGAATTTATAGGAGAAGATTAAGACTGTGTTACACAAATCGGGGCTTTAGATTTAGCGAAATTACGATAGGCCCATTGGGTTAACAGATCCAAATCTGAAATGAGCGTCTCCGACAGTGATGACACACTGTAGTGAAGCCGGATCAGAAGTGGGTCCGGTTGCATTGGGACAGGATTCGGTGTAGAAAGTCGTACGTGTCCCCAATAGTGTCTCGGAGGCTGACGTGGAGGTGAGTAGGATGCTGGGCCCATTTAAATGATTTCTCTATGGGCCGAAATATGTGGTTCTCCACATGTATCCGATATATGGATTGGTGTTGATTCTTGTCTTAAATCCATTTATCTAAAAGAAGAAAAAATGAAAAAGGTCTATCTTTAAAATACCTTCTCAAATTTTTTTTTTCTTTTCATTTCTTCTTTTTCTCCGTTTTTTAATTGTGAGAAAATACGGAAGCAGTTCAAACAACTTAAAATGTGCAAAATCTATGAAAGAAAGATTAATAGCAATTATCATCGACAAAAACTTTTTCAATAATTACTAATAGTTAATATCAATTATTTTGATGAAATCAATAGTGTCGATAATTCAGATCGAATCATCAACAATAATATCGCAAATGTGTCCCACAATCGTCTACTTGCCTTGAATGAACAAGTGAAAGGAACTTGCAAGAAAAAAACTTTTATATACCTGAAAAATAGTTGCACGTAACAAATAGGATACGCATGAATGATATCGTGTTGAATTTTGTATTTTGTGGAGTAAACAAGGAAAGTGAAGTAATTTTTATATGTGCTTCAAAAAGATCTGATAGAAGAATTTTATCCACGCGTTTTGTGAAATTCGCTGCATAAGTTTTAATTTAAACACAAGCACTAAAAATTATATAATTTTTAAATTTTGTTTATAAAAATCTATTTCAACAACAAATTTATGATTATATATATGTATAGAAAAGCTTAGAGTGATTATCAGCATTTCAATAAGTGTCAATTGAATTCAAATAAATTTGAACTGTCCTCAATTATTAAAGCTAACCATCAATTAAATTTTTAGTCATTTCAGGCACGAAAGTAGGCAAAAATTTTCAAATTGGATTTAACCAATCCAAATCTTGTTTGGTACATCATTCTTTCGCAATGAAAAGTTCTCTCTTGTCAACTGTTTTTATTACTAGTACTCTCATATTTATTTTGTAGGTATTGTACTTCCCAATAGTACCTTAGTTCAATTTGAATTGTATATTACTATTATTCTAAACAACTATGAAGATGTAAGGCCGTTTTGTTAATTAGAGAATTTGTTTTAAAGCACTTATTAAAGTTAGGGATGTCAAATAGTTTCTCGAGTTGGCTCGGTCTGCAAATAGTCCTAGCTGGCCCAACTCCGGGCTCGGGTCGAGCCCACTCTTGGGCATGCCAGGCCGAGCTTGAGTCGGCTTGCGGGCCAGCACGAAAAAAAGCAAAGAAAAAAAGAAGAGCTACCTTAAAGGCAGTTGGCAGCTTGCCTTCACAAACAACAAAAAAAAATCGACTCGGCTCAGTAAGGTTCGAGGCTCGATTTTTTGGCCTAGCTTTTTTTATTCGGTTCGGCTTGGGCCAAAAAAGCCTATCTTAAAAAAGCTAGAGCCGAGCTCAAGCCTTAATTTTCGACTCGAAAACCTGCTCGATTCGTTGACACCCCTAGATAAAAACTCTAAAAAAATCACTTTTTCACTTTTTGTTTATATAATATTTTCAAACTTTTTAACAACACATTTAAAAAATATATTCCAAAGAATCAATGTGTTTCTCACAAAAAAAAAAAAAAAGGTATAAGAAGAAAAAATTGAATTGAAATTAAATTTGGACCTCAGATCTTGTGTCAAAGGTAAGTTTGTTTGATCATATGTTGATAAATTTATAAGTGGACGCTCTTTACCTCGAGATAATCCATTGACAACGAAAAATTACCAACAAAATTGGTTATTAAAATCCCACCAACATTTTTTTTAATTCTTGTTTATAATTGTTTGCCAATGTGCTATGCTGATTTTGAGCAATCATGTCAATCAAGGCAAAGGGAGGGGAAAAATAAACAAATTAAGTAAAAATAAACAAAGAATCTCAACGAATAGGAAGGAAAGCATGTCTTCATCATGAAGGGGCCCAAATAATTAATTTAACATCCAAATTAACACAATAATCTCCGTGTTAGAATGCCAAGATAGTGGAATTAATATCTAATGGAGGCGGAGCCCGATTAGTTGTTGGGTTATACATCTCACCTTTTTCCTACCTAATTATCCAAATAAAAATAGGGATTGAAAGGCAAAGCAACCCCACGAATTTAGACTTTAAATTTCTTTCTTCTCTCTTTTCGTGTTTCTCTTTCGTGTCACTGATTTCTTTCTTGTAAGTTGTCAGGGTAGGCTACTCCCCTTTTGTATGTAGGCACCCCTTCTGCCAAAATTATGGAACGTGAAGAAATCCACCTAGAAAGAGTTTTTCTTTATATTGGAGGGTCTTCGACTTCAATTCATTGTCTTCATTGTTAGGAGTATGACTCAAATATGAGCCTTTTGAAGAGACGTATTCGATTTGGACTTAGAGAATATTAACCTAGGGTTTAAGAAAACTAAGTTGAATGAGGAAATAAAATTTTTTTGAAATTGAGTCTCCTAATTGTAATATATTTTTTTGTCTTTTAGGACTCTTTTAGGATTGGCCTATAAATACGAGACTTCTCTGATCAGTTTGTAGAAAGTAAAATAGAAGCAGTATTGCTAGTCTGTCTTGTATTCTCCATACTGTTGAATTAATAAATATTGTTCATCTGCGGTTACCCTTTGTGTTCTTTATTTATAAATTTAATCTTGTGTTTTCGTGGTGTGATCTAATATACTTCAATATTGTCATTAAATCTCGTTCTTTATAAACCTATTTGGAATCAACGTGTGTTATTGGAGTTTTCGCGCTTGACAAGTGTTATCAGAGCTTGGTTACTTTCGTAGATTGATTGAGATTTTTTCGGGATGGCTGGGTTGAAGTATGATATTCCGCAACTAAATCGCAATACAAGATTTTCTTTGTGGCAAGTAAAGATGAGGGTTGTTCTGATGCAGTTGGATTCAGACGATGAGATTGGGTTTTGAGAAGATACCAGTTGATTGGACAACGGAAGGATCAGAAAGCTATTTCATTGATTCATCTTCATCCGTCCAACAATATTCTGCAGGATCAAGATGTCTTGAAGGAGAAAATGACGGCTGCTTTGTGGTTAAAGTTGGAACATTTGTGGATGACTAAAAGTCTTACAAGTAAACTGGTTCTCAAGCAAAACCGTATTCACATAGCATGGTGGAAGGAGAGTCGTTGGAAAACCATGTTGTCGTGTTCAAGGAAATAGTTGCAGATCTGGAGACATTGGAGGTTAAATACTATAAGGAGGATCTTACCTTGATCCTGTTGTGTTCACTGCCTAGATCTAATGCGTAGTTTCGGGATACTATCTTATATAGTCGTGATACTTTGACTATAGAAGATGTCTATGATACTTTACACTCAAAGGAGAAAATGAAGCATTTGGTTGGAGCTACATCAAGGGATGGAGAAGCTCTTGTATCTCAAAGTGGTCGACGAAGATGTAGATCGCGAGTTAGATTTAGCAATGTAACTTGATACTACTGCAAAAGGAAGTGACCTATTCGAAAGGATTGCAATAAGTTGTAGGCTAAAGGTGATTTAGTTGTAAATCGTGGGGTGCAACTTTTGAATTCAAACGAAACCAATGTAGTTAAGAATTGTTCAGATGGCGAAGAGGTGATGTTGATCGTGGTATCTGATATGGAATACAAGCCCAACGAAGAGTAGATTCTTGATTCACCATGTTCGCACCATATGTATTCCGATATGAATTTATTTCAAACATATGAGGCTATGAGGCTGTTCAGCAAGGTGAAGTTGTAATGGTAAACAACCAATATTACCGTATTGCTAGGATCGGTCAAGTCAGATTGAGGGTGTGGGATGGAACATTTAGAACAATTGACCAAATTCGACATGTTCCTCACCTAAAAATGAATCTCATTTCACTAAGTACCATAAATGCAAAAGGGTACAAATTCTTTGAAGGAGGTAGAGTCTTGAAAGTCTGAGTTGTACTGGAAGAATGGAAAAGATCACAATTGTACATTTTGTAGAGGAGTGCAGAACTAGTTGAGAGGAGACATTTGGACAAGTTTAGTAACGTGGTGGAAGTTCAGTTTGGTTCAATACCTCTTGTGTTGGGCTCTGAGTCGATTCAGAACACTGCTAGAGAGAGCGTTGATGATTTCGTTTTGTCACCAATTTTAGCGGATACGCTGTATTCAGTTGCTGGGGTAAGACCCATCGAGTGTAGGTACATTGGTGTCAGCAATGTCTAAGATGCTTCTAGGGACATTGAAAGCGACAGTTCCAGCAAGGGGCATTCTGATTAAGTATCTGATTTAGTTCTTGCTACAGGGTGTGATTTAACCCTGTGTGATCAATATTCATTCCTTGGTGGAATTGGGAACCCCGGGGATTGGGTTCCGATGTCAGTTGTGAACGCTAGACAGGGGACGAGTATTTGGTTTATATGGAGTGGTTACTGTGTTGAGGAAATTCGACAAGTTAATTTCGATGCAGATAAATTTGAAATATAGGAGTTTCGTTCTTAGCACCAGAATTTGAGTCAAGATGGAAATTGTTAGGAGTATGACTCAAATATGAGTCTTTGAAGAGGCTTATTCGATTTGGACTAGGAGAATATTAATTTAGGATTTAAGGAAACTAAGTTGAATAAGGAAACAAAATCCTATTGAAATTGGGTCTCCTAATTGTAATATATTTTCTTGCTTTTTAGGATCTTCTAGGGTTGGCCTATAAATACGAGACTCCTCTTGTCAGTTTGTAGAGAGTAACAAAGAAACAATATTGTTAGTCTGTCTTATATTCTCCATACTGTTGAATTGAACAAATATCGTTCTTCTGCGTTTACCCTTTGTGTTCTTTCTTTACAAATTCAATCTCGTGTTTTTGTGGTGTGATCTAGTATACTTTAATATTATCATTAAGTCTCGTTCTTTATAATCCGATTTGGAATCAACGTGTGTTATTGAAACTTCCGCGCCCAACAT